GCTGCGTACGGCGGGGCGTACGGCGGGGCGCACGGCGGGGCTAGCCGCAGGTACACCCTTAGCCTTATCTGCCGGCCGTGACCCACCGTAAGCCCCGCACGCGTTATCGAACACGGCCGCGACTTCCTCGCGCAATTAGGCCGCCAGCGAGTTTATCAAACGAACCTCGAACGGCGGCTTCGACACCCCCGTGAGTGGCCCGCCGCCTGCGCCGCCTGCGCCCCGCAGTCACGCACACGTCTCATTTACTTCCTGTTTTTTCGTTTTCGGTTTTGCAGGTCGTAAGAATAGCCCCGGCTTGACGCCCGTGCGTCGCTCTGTCTCTCTCTGGGACTCGTGCGTCGTCCCGTAGGGTTGCGAGAGAGACAGAGCGACGTGGCCCTGGTCAGCACCAGCCAGAGGTGCAAGGTGCGTTACTGTCGAGGATCCTGCGCCTTGTTCGTAGCCTGCATTCCTCTTTCGGTTCGGCTCGGCTCGGCTCGGCTCCCATGAGGGATATTCGCAGAATGGGAGCCGAGGGTCGGTTAGGTCCCTCCCATTAGCTGTACACACCCGCTCATCAGCAGCCACGAGCACAGCACTGGCAACAACAAAGTAAGCCCTTCTAAAGTCAGCGGGCTGTTTCCTGTGTTGTGTTAAAATTTTTCGTTTAATATTTCATGTTTAAAAAAAAAACAAATATTTTAAAAAAATTAAATTTAAAAGAAAATATGATTTTTAGTGGGGGCTGTAAGGCCACTTCTTACCTAAAAATTCATTGGATAGAAACTGGCAGAAAAAAGCTTTTCTTTTCGCTCCGCCAGTTCAATTTGTACGACTCGGATCGACTAATTTTCTTCCCCCTGACGCCCACACCGTCAGGAACACGTGCCATTAGCGCACGCACCCATCTGGCCGATATTACAGTGCTGTCAGCCTCAGAATGAAGATCCTGCGCCGAGCAGGCCGGGGGAGGGGGGGAGGGGCATTGAACGAAGGAGGAAAAAAAGGTCATTCAGGCGATCTGTTCCCCTTCTGAGGGCGCCGCGGCCCCTGCTGCTCCCTTCGTTGGATTTAAGAAACAAATCAGCGGTGGATAGGGAGAAATTCGAGGAATAGCGGTACGGGCACCCGCAAAGGCGGTGCCCGTGATGAAATAGTAATTACAACAATTATTTTTTTCTTTGGAAAAAACATTGTTGTTTTTTTAACAAACTGTTGTCAGCAGGACGGTGCTGCTCCACCGGGCCTCACGGCCAAATTCATGCCTTTCGCCTTTGTGCCCCGCGATCCACAGCCGCGATTCAAAACGCAGCGGCCCTTTTCAGGCAAACTTTCGGCGCCGACGGGGCTTGGCCGGGCGCGGGCCGGTCGGAGCGAGCGGGAGGGCACGGCACAAGGCACGGCGGCAGGATGTGCCGCGCGGATAAATAGGCGAAAAACTATCCAAGGCATGTCCGGATGGCTCGGCCCGCCGCCGGCCCGCCCGGCCACATTGTGCCAACACAACGGCTGGAGTTGCCGGCCAGAAGTTGGGCCTCAGGCCTAGGGCAGGCCTTGGGCAGGCCTTGGCAGTCGTCGCCAGGTGGAAGTTTCAAATACTTGACAAGGCAGCCCCCCAGCACCCTTACTGGCAATGCAAGCAAGACGCCGTTTGCTGCCTTGGTTCGGGACCAGTGATGCCGCAAAGTGGGTCAAAACGAAAATGAACGATGAATTCACGCGCCCATGAAGGGTAGGTACCATTCCGCCCACCCCACCATTTCCCCCTCCCCTCTTCTCCCCTTTTCCACGCTCGTCATTCAAACTGACGGCCATCAGGCCTCTTATTGTTCTGGCCACCACACCCTGGAGCGGCTGGAGCCCCCCCCCCTCCCCTCCAGGAGGCCCCCCGACCGGAGCCCCGTCCGGCACCACAGGGCCCCGTGCGGGGCGAGTCCCCACACGAAGCAACTTCTGCTGACGCGAAAGAAAGGGCGTACCGCACGGCCGCCACGCCAGAGCCACGCCAGAGCCACGCCAGAGGCGGCAGTGGCATCCATTTGCATCTGCCCTGGACAATTCAAACTGGGCGACAACGCAGTAGAATTTAGCTTTGGCTCCGCTTTCGACCAACTTTGAGACGCCATCGCTCTCAAACTATTCGTGGTAAAGGCGTTTCCGAGGCGGAGCTCAAAAGAGACGCCACGGCGCCTTAACCACAGCTAGATTGAATCCAGTAGCCGCCCAAAATCAGTGAAAATTTTCGAGATTTACCTCGTGCGGCGTGAGGGGTCGCTACCCCGCGCTCCGAGTGCGTCGGCAAGGTGAGCCCCCGGGCGTCCCTGGCGCCTGGAGTAGCTTCGGTCCATTTCTTCCCTGACGTGCAGCGGACGGGCTGCAGAGGGTGCGGGGCGCGGCGGGGCGCGGCGGGGCGCGGCGGGGCGCGGCGGGGCGCGGCGGGGCGCGGCGGGGCGCGGCGGGGCGCGGCGGGGCGCGGCGGGGCGCGGCGGGGCGCGGCGGGGCGCGGCGGGGCGCGGCGGGGCGGCAGCACACCGGGGCGCACCGGGCGCAGCGCAAGTCTGCTTTCCAACGGCGCTCCGTCTCTCTCGCACTCGCGGGCCGTGCGCCGCGCACCGTGAGGGTGCGAGAGAGACAGCGCACAGGCCGAGTAATTCGCCAGCCTAATGTCCCTCATTTAAAGTTTAAATGAGGTATTTGCGCGAGAGGTGGGGGGAGAGGGGGAGAAGCACGCCGACGGCGGGGAGGGCGCACCAACGCCCCCAATTGTGTCCAATGACTGACGCGACGCGCCCGGCCTGTCACACACGTGTCACGCGCGTGTCACGCGCGCGTCACGCCACCGGAAGGCGGGCTGTTCCGGCGACGTCAACGCCGCCACGCGCTTCCGGATGCGTCCCCCGCGGGGTGAAGGGTGGAGGGCGCCGAAGAAAACGCGTCGCCCGCGCCGGGGCGCGAACCCACTCCTGTTTCCTCCAGCGGCCCCTCGCAGCAGAGTTCGCAACGGGGCTACTCTGTTTGTAGTGACCGCCATCTTGGCCACAGCCACTGACTGCCCGTCTGCAAGGAATCGGGGTTCCAGCCCTCGTCTTCCAGCGCCAAAGAAAAATTATTTATTCATTTTGTTTTTGTTTTTTGTTTTGTTTCTTGTACGAGATGCGAACACCGTTGCATGGCCATTTTTCCCTCCCCGCCTTCAAAGCCGGCAGGCCAGGCCAGGCCAGACGGTCGCATGGAGGCGAGCATGGCGAGGGGCAGCAAGGCAGCACGCGGTCGAAGCCAGCCTTGTGACATGCAGATCGGATTACTCGCGGATAGCCGGGCAGAGTGCAGCGGAGTGCCGAACTGCCGCACAGTGGGCCAGAAGACCGAAAGGCGGTGGACTAAACTCTCGACGCGTTTTGAGCTCCAGAGTCGCTAAAAGGGACTCGAACCGATCGAGTGACCCCACCAATGGATTGCTCTCCGAACAAGGAATCCATTGGTGGGGTCACACGGTCGGTTCGAGCCCTGTTTAGGGACTCTGGAGCTCAAAACGCGTCTGGAGTTTCGGCCGCCTCCACAGGTCTTCTGGCCCACTGTGCGCCCCTCTGTGCGCCCTCTGTGCGGCCGCGTCGCGCACCACTGGCCGCGCCTGGCCGCGCGATGTCGCGGTCGCCCCGTCACAGCTGCAGTGTTTGTTTTGTTAATGCACCCTCCATATTTGCCGGCCAGTTGGCCCCCGCCCCCACCCCCTGTCCAGGCCACCGCTAAAAGCGCGCGCGTCCTCCGCACGGTCATCCTGCCCCGACTCTTGAGGGGACGTTCGCCCCTCCGGTCCGCTGGTCAGTCGACCCGGCGGACTCTCTCTCACACACAGCACTGCACTCATCATTATCCGCCCGCGCGGACCGCGATCGGGATTCCGAGCCGCTGGGAGAGATCCATTACAGAACTGGAAAAATAGATTTCCATCTCGGGTAACCCCAGGTCTAAAAATCTTGTGTGGTTTGCGGGATCCTGTATCATTTTGCAGGATCCCGTCTAGTTTTACGAGATCTCGTATGGTTTTGCGGGATCCCTTAAGAACACCCGAGATCCCGGGAGGGTCGCACAGGATCCCTTAAGACCTTACGGGATCCGGTAAGGGTCACACAAGATCCCGAGAGGGTCATACGGGATCCCTTGGGTAGCCGGGATCCCGGGAGGGCTGCACAGGATCTCGAGAGGGTTGTACGGGATCCCGCACGCTGCCGAGATCCCGGAAGAGCCACACGGGATCCCGTGATGGTCTTGCGGGATCCCTTGTGCTGCCGAGATCCCGGGAAGTACGCACGGGATTTCAAATTTTGGTATGCTGTAACTCGGAAAGTTTTTAACATTTTAAGCCCAAATTTTGTATGGGGTATATTCGCTAAAATTCGCCAGTGCCATTTGAATTTTGTTGAAATCTAACAACTTTTTTCTGCTATCTCGAGAACCGCTGGAGTTATCCAAATTCTGACTGCAGATTTGGATAGATCTCGGTTCCAACCTCCTAGATGATTCAAACTTTTGATTCTATCTGCAGAAGAACTTGCATTTTCACGTCTTTATCTGTAATTTACAGGATCCTTTTGGTGGGTAAAGGATTCCTTTCCGGCATACGAGATCCCGTCCTGGCGTACAGGATCCTGTCCTACCGTACGGGATTTTGAAAATTCGTTAAAGGATCCCGTCTGTCCTTACGGGATCCCGTCCAACTCAGGATCCTGTATGGCTCGGGATCTCGTATTGTAGTACGGGAATCCCTTAACGAATTTTCAAATCCCGTATGATCGTACGAGATTTTTAGACCTGGGACATGCAGCACCGGACCGCCGAACGCGCTGCCGCCCAGAGGTAGGCAACCCATCCGTCACACCGCCACCCTACCCCCACCCCACCCCACCCCTTCCGCTCCCTGCCCCGGCAGCCAGTCACTTGTTGCCGTCTTAACCTCTGATTCGCACATCGCTCGGGAGTAAAACTCAACCAAAATACGTTTCGTTTCAAGCTTATACCTCACCGATGGTGCTCACAGTCGACCGGGGTGACCGGCAGAGACGAAGAGGGTGCGGGCAATCGGGCACTCAGGACAACACACTTCCAGCAATGAGTGCTCTGCAAGGCCAGTGCTGGTGTCGTGCGTCCACTCGCCGCGAAGGTGGGCCCCTCACTGGGCGGGCGGGCCGTAGATACACCCCAGGTTGGGGCTACTGTATCTATCCTGGTACGTATTTCGAGTTAGCACGCGCACGCCGGGTGCGCGGCGCGTCTTCGCCGGGCCAGCCCGGCAGCGAGCGATCTTCGGAGGGTTCTCGAAACATCAAGCGGCTGGTTCGTACCGCCGGTTCCATCCACACTGCAAATCATCCACATTGAGTCACTGCACTGGACACACGCAACACGAGAACGCTTGGAGGCGACGGTGATTGCGCAACAGGGGCGGGCCGCTTGCCGCCGCGCCGCCATCTTGGTACACTGACAATCATCCCTTTGATTCCGCAACCGAAGGGCCGATGTTTCACTCCGCGAAAGACACGGATCGCCACCAAGGCACTGCACTCGCGACGCACGCGCGACACAGTCGCAAGCGAAATGCGAACGAGTTTCGGGTCATTTCCTCGAAGAAATTCCGCGCGGGACCGAAGGCCGTAACAGCAACAGCCGGCAGCGCTAAACTTGCAGCGACTTGTCACTGCCGCCGCGACGCTACCAACGTGAACGCACAAAACAAAAAGTCGCGGAGTCCGTGGCGTAGTTTCGTTTCAAGAGGTATCGTTCCTTGAGCTGGACGCGAAAATGGATTCAACGTAAATGCCTGTTGGTTCGCTTTGGAAGAAATGTGTTATTTAGGAAGGACGAACCACCCGGCGTCGGACATGAAGGTTGGCAGTTATGTTTAAAAATGGCGGGAACTTTTAAAACTATTTTTAAAATTAATTTGACGGCAGTCGTATCGCGCCGACCATTGGTCCCAAGGGGTAAGGTGAAAGGCAGCGGAAGGTGCTTGACGCGTTTTGTCACGGACCTCATTTCGGACCGCAGCGCGGCGCAGAGCGGGGCGGGGGCCGTCCCGGCTGCCCACACGCACAGGCATTCGAACGTACCCCGGCCCCCGGCCGCCCCCGGCCGCCCCCTGCTTCCCGCCCCCGCCGCCAGAGGGCGCTGGCGTCACGTTGCGGCCAGGCGTCGCTCGGCTGGAATTTGCTCAGGGCACAATATTAGTGTACTCTTCTCATCCGGCCGGCCGCCTCTGCCGACCTGCGCTGGCATCGCACAAAAGTATTTTATTTACTTATTTGTTTATTTCGCAGGTGTGTCGTTTCGCCTCGCCTCTTTGCAGGTTGTGGTTGTGGCCGGGCTTTTTAGAGGGATACGGACACCCCCTCCCCTCCCCCTTGGCGCCAAATCGACTCCAACGTTTCACTTCTTCTTTCACGTCTCCTTCGCTGTCATCTTCCTCGGCCATCGCTCTTTCCTCCCCGCTTTTTACAGCGCCCTCCCCCTCTCGAGCAGACGACGCGGCTCTTTTAGCGGCCGGCAAACCCAACCAAAGATCTCCCGGCCGCTGCCTTTTGTTTTGTTTGCGCCGCTATTTGTTTATTTGCGAGTGTTGATTGAGTTTCCTTGTCAGCGCCGGCTTCGGCGAACAGGAGGGAGGGGGGGGGGCTGCGAGGAGGCAGTTTTCGCCAACCGAGATGAACATTTACCAAGGCGCCTAAATGAACCGACTTTGTTGACTCCGCATTCAGGTTAAAGAGTGTAACTGTGCCGTAGTCAATGGAGGCAGTGCGCACAGTGGGCGAGAAGACCGGTAGGCGGACAAAACTCTAGACGCGTTTTGAGCTCCAGAGCCGCCAAATGGGACTCGAACCAAACGTGTGACCCCACCAATGGATTGCTCTCCGAACGAGCAATCCATTGGTGGGGTAACACGCTCGCTTCGAGTCCCATTTAGCGACTCTGGAGCTCAACACGCGTCTAGAGTTTTGGCTGCCTCTACCGGTCTTCTGGCCCACTGTGGGGCGCCGCGCGACGAATGCCCGAGTGGCGCGGTTCGCTCGCGGATTCGTTCCTCCTTTTCCCGCCTTTGTGACACGGGCTGGAAAAACGGATGAAAAATCCGTCCTTTTGGCGCGCGGCGCGCTGGAGATGCCGGAGAAGTACGTCAAGTCGAGCCAATTAGTGCACCAGAAAGCCGACCGACTCACGTGAATGGACGCTTTCGGGAAGGCAGTGCTGGCATTGCCGGCAGTGCAGCAGTAGTGGAATACTTTGCTTTCGCCGGGAAAAAAGTTTATAATCCAAGTTTCTCCGCGTCCCCGGCGTGTGCTTGGAAGGACGGTGCAGGGAAAATTATTCCCCCCTCCCCCTTCCGGCCGCCGAGGAAAAGACAATCTCTTCTCTCCCTCAAAAAAAAATATTGCTGTAATGGAAAATAATTCATTGGAACCACATGATTGAGTGTGTGGTTGCAATGCAGTCCCCCGCGAGGCGCCGCTGCGCGGAGTATCTCCGGACGCTGGTGTCTCTGGGCGCCGGGAGTAGCGCCGTGGCACAGCCCGCCGCGCAAGGGGCGCAAATGAAACGGAAATAAAATTAAATAAGTTTATTGTGTCCCTGCTCAACAGGTAAACAATGCGGAACCGGTTCAGATGCAGTCGCGTCAATTGAATAGCTAGAGTCGAGTCCGTCCACACACTCTCAGGCAGCGTCGTCTCAAAGTCGCTCCTTCTGAGTGTGTTTGTTGTGCAGCGGGGAGTTTCCATCGTCAGGTCGATCGGCGAGTGTATCGCCTCTACCCCGCCATGCCCGTCCTGGAGGGCCTCTTCCTGGGGACGAAGCGGCAGGGGAAGCCCTCCTTCCTCTTGAGGATGATGTCGCCCACCAGCTTGAAGTCCTTCTCCGGCACGTCGGCGTGCACCTCCAGCTTGCGCAGGATGGTGGACAGGAGGATCTTGAGCTTGAGCATGGCGTACTTCCTCCCTGGAACCACGACGCGTTTGTGTTTTAGAGTGCCGTGGCCGTGGGGTAGGAGCACCCGCAGCACCGCAGTGGGCTAGAAGACCGGTGGAGGCGGCCAAAATTCTAGACGCGTTTTGAGCTCCAGAGTCGCTAAGGCCTCGAATCGAGCGTGTGACGCCACCAATGGATTCCTCGTTCGGAGAGCAATCAATTGGTGGGTTCACACGTTCCGTTCGAGTCCCATTTAGCGACTCAGCGCAAAGCGCGTCAGGAATTTTGTCCGCCTCCGCCGGTCTTCGGCTCCACCGAGGGACAACTCAGGCCAACTGACCGACACAGCTGCGGGGCCCCGCGCTGAACGGGATGAAGGCGTAGTAGTGCCTGTCGCCGCAGCGCTCGGGCAGGAAGTTGTCCGGGTCGAACTGCTCCGCGTTGGGGAACATGTCGGGGTCGCGGTGCAGCAGGAACGGCGGTATCACCACCGTCGTGGACTCGGGGACCACGTAGCCGGACGCTGCGCAGAAAGGCACGAATGGCAAAACAGAACCATGGGCGCGGCGCACGTTTCGAGCTCCAAAATCGCTAAATGGGACTCGAACCAACGTGTGACCCCACCAATGGATTCCTCGTTCGGAGAGCAATCCAATGGTGTCACGCTTTCGGTTCGAGTCCTGTTAAGCGACTCTGGAGCTCAAAACGCGTCTGGAGTTTCGGCCGCCTCCACCGGCCTTCTGTGGCCCACCCTGCTCACCGAGCCTGACGTTCTTGCTGACGTGCCGCGCGATGAGCGGCACTGGCGGGAACAGGCGCAGCGTCTCCATGATGCAGCGCTCCAGGTACTTCATCTCCAGCGTGTCCTGGAAGGACGGCGGCCGGTCCGAGTCCCCGAAGATCTCCCGCAGCTCGGCCACGCAGCGCTGCTGCACGTCGCGGTGCACGCCCATCAGGCACAGGAAGAAGCTGCTGGCCGCGGCCGTCGTGTCGTGGCCCTGCATCAACCACAGTGAACGGCCGGAAGTGACAAAGAGTGACCAAACACGCATTCATTTATTTAATTTAATTTTTCCGAAGGTATTGCTGCTGGCTCACCTCGAACATGATGGTGGTCACCTCCTCCTCCACCTCCTTCTCAGTGAGGGCGTTGTCGTCGTCGGCGGCGTCCAGCATCTGGTCCAGGAACAGGACGCGCTTCTTGAGGCCTGCGGGTCAACGGAGGGCGTGAGCAGGCAGCGACGACATCCCTCCCTCCGTGCTTCCAGTGTCCGTGCCCCTTACCGTACTCGTCGTCCAGGTCGTCCCGGAGCCCCGCCGACTGCCCGTACGAGATGCCGGTCTCCTCGGGGTTCCTGGCGGCGGCGTCCGCCCTGAGGGCGTCCGCGTCCTCGGCCAGGGCGCGCTTGTACAGCGCGTCGCGCAGCCCGCTGGCACGCTCCGCCCGGCGCACCCGGAGCACCTGCGGCACCGCGTGCGGCACGCCCACCATCACCGTCACGACCGCCATCCAGCCCATCCAGAGGCCCAGCTCTAGCAATTTGTTCTCCCAAGCACGATTGACGCTCACCAACATTGTATTTTTGGTTAAAGCATTGACTTTCCCTTTACATTTTTTCTGGTTAAAAATATTTTTGGTAAAAAAATTTGCTTTAATATTTTTTTGGTTAAAAAAAAATCTTTTGTTTAAATTTTTTGGTTAAATTTTTTTTAGTTAAATTTTTTTGTCAAAAATTTCTTGTTTACTCTTTGTTTGTTTTTGTTTTCTGCCTGCACTGTACCAGCCGGGCTGGTCTCCGCGCGCTGGTCGCGTGACGGCCGCAGTTTGGGCCAAGCAGGCGATAATTGGTGCACTTAGTCGGCAAGGTGCGCGTTACGCGGCGTTCCGCGGCGTTATACCTCTCTGGTCTGGTCGTGGATGGTGTCCAGCAGCCGGCGCTGTTTTCTGCCCTCACCGGACAGTCCGAACAGGAAGTCCCACCACAGCCAGGGGCTCAGGGCGCGCCGGTGGAGCACCGCGCACATCCTAGCCGAGAGGGTGACATTAGTTTGAGTTGGCCAACTTTGCCGAAAGCTTTGGACACAACTCGGCTTACTTGACTACCGCCATGGCGTACTCGAAGGTGTTCTTCTGCGTATCGCGGCGCACCCCCATGGCCGTCTCTGCGAACATAAAACCGTTAAAGCCAATGTATCACTTTGCTCGATTTTCTCAAGGGGAATGAGTACCCAGGAGCATGTCGACGGTGGCCTCGGCCACGTAGTCGTGGATGTCGATGGTCCTGGCCGTGACGGCCTCCAGGCGCCGGCAGAGCATCTCGCTGTTGCGGTGGAACAGGTGCACGAACTGCTTGAGCACGTGCACGTGGAACGTGGGCGCGATCAGTTTCCGGTGGGACCGCCAATGGTCACCTGCCGGAGAAAAACAACAAGTTTTTCATCGTCGCCCAAAAACACTGTTTTTGTTGTTGTTGCATTTTGAACTGACCTTTGCTTATGAGCAAGCCGTCGCCGAGCCATGGCTGGAAGAAACGGTACTCCTTGGCTTTCTCGTTGCACTGCGCGCTGCTGAGAATCACCTTAACATAGGAACAGTTCCGTCAGTCTTGCCCTGGCAGGGCGAGCTAGACGAGCTGGCCGGGCCAGCCTTACCTCCACGTCCTCGGGGCTCCACACCGCGACCGCCACTCTGTGCAGGGCCATGATCTTGGCCACCCTCCGCGGGTAGTGCTCCGACCGTCGCCACGCCTCTTGGAACACCCAGTCGAAGCCTGCGGGAGTGTGAACGGCGAGGGTTCGTCATTGCGTCGCCATTTGCCACGTCCGAGGCCAAGTCCCCGCGAAGCGCGAGCACTCACCCCGCACCGCGTGCCACAAGAGGTACAGGTTGCCGATGACGGGGTACACGTAGGGCCCGGGGATCTTGTGCGCGAGGGCGAGTCGCTCCCGGAAGGCGACGCACAGCCAGGCGTACGCCAGGGCGACCACCACGCCGACGAGCGCGACACTGGCGACAACCATGGTGGCGGTGGCTCCGTTGGAGTGCTGCGCAGTGCTGCGTGCTGAATGGCCCGCGTCGGGACGGGCTTCGGATCGGACTGAGTCGCCCCCGGGCCGGCACCGCGTACTTAAAAGGTGCGGAGGGGGAGGGGTCGGCGTCGGCGCTTTGGAACCAAACACACACGTGGCTGGGCCAGAAGCAAGTAGTAGACGACATGTCGAACACTACGATGGTTTAGTTGCAACTAGGTCGTGTACCTCTGAAGTGTTCTTCCTGCCTCCATATCTCCAGAAAAAAAACTTCTCTGAATCAGCCCACGATTCACGCAACCCACGATTCACGGAAAGTTGACCGCTTCACTCAACTACCTCCGCATACTCTGCATAGATGACGTTTCGATCAGCCAATCAGTCTCTAGCAGGGCAAGCATAGTGACGTCATCGACGGCACAGGAACGGGTCCTTGCCTCACTTTTGGCTTGACTGATCCATTCATCCATTTCATTCGGCGGCCGGGCTCCCGCCCTCGTGTCGGCGGTCGTTTGTTTTGGACCAGAGGTCTCATTGGGATCGGAAACCCAGGTCTTTACTCTTAACTGTTCCCCCGAAAAGCGGTCTTGACCCCAGCTCGGTACCCACAGGCCAGGACAAGCCTGGACCAGGGCTTCTCAGCCCGACGCGTCTTTGAGGCAGGTTCGTTGTTCGATTCCAGCCAGAGTCATCCGATTTTTGGCGGCCTTCGTTTCTTTTTAGTGTTGCTTTCGCGTCGGGCTTGCTTTAACGCCTGTGAGGTAGGCCACCATTCCGACCTGTAGCGCACTGGTGTGGAGATGGCGGCCTACCTTGCCCCTGCCGTCGTCACGGCGGCGAGGTAGCCCGCCATCTCCACACCGGTGTGTTGCGAGACTGAAGGGTTGCCTACCTCGCAGGCGCTTCAAGGTACCCGAAACGTAAACGCTGTCAGTGTCTACCCCAGTTGTGGGGCTTTACCCGAGACGACCGTCGGGCGTTGCGGACCGTCTCACAGTGGGCCAGAAGACCGGTGGAGGCGGCCAAAATTCTAGACGCGTTTTGAGCTCCAGAGTCACTATAAATGGGACTCGAACCGAACGTGTGACCTTACCAATGGATTCCTCGTTCGGAGAGCAATCCATTGGTGGCATCACCCGTCCGGTTCGAGTCCCATTTAGCTACTCTGGAGCTCAAAACTAGAATTGTTGCCGCCTCCGCCGGTCTTCCCACCCACTGTGCGTCTGTGTGTGTGGCCTAGCCCACAGGCGCTATACTATCGCAAGCATTGCTCTAGGATAGTCTTTGCCGAAGCCACACGACAAGGCCGCGAATTTGGGGCGTTCCTGAGTGGCACGTGTGGAGAGCATGCCGAAGGAGCACGCGCGAATCCGGTCTCTGTCTCGGACAGCTTTCACACAAAAGCAAACGCTGCAATATGCATCGCCGTTCCCACGCTCGGCTGGCTATTGCCCGCTTCTTGCCGCTTCGCCTGCAGTCCCCGATGCACGAGTTTTTGCAAGGCGGTGTCGCCCGCCTGCGTGCTTTTAAAAACGTTACGTAACGTACAGGTCTAAAAACAAAAGCTGGAAAAAAATTTGCGTTGAAATTTACCGTTCCGCCAAAAATTGATTGGTAAGTCGATGCCCCCCGAGTGTGAAGTAGCGTAAATGCCTCCGGTTTAGACCGTACGCTCCGTGCGTCACTATAGTGACGCACGCGACGCACGGACTCGCTGCACTACTGTATTTTTGTTTATTATCGTTATACGCGTTGTGCGTACGGGACCCAAACCGGCCAGGTCGGCGTGAAAGGCCTCGTAACAAACAATGCTCTGTCTGGGCCTGGGCTGGGCGCGTCCTGCGTGACTCATGTGTCCAAGTTGGATTTGGATGTCATTTCATTGCGTTTTTATTTTCACCAATTTGATCAATGTCGGTTTTATTAGGGATTTTAAAAAAATTCTACTGTGTTTCTTTTTTCTGCGATTGGTTTTCGGAGGATCAACGCCACCACTCTACGAGAAATATATACAGCAGCAGCCTTTTTTTTTGTGTGTGGGGTTTTTTTTTCAACGAATTTGATTTTTAGACCAGGTTCCGGCGGGTGACGACCTGCCACATGAACTGCACGCGCTCGTACCACGTGATGGCCGTGTTCATGAGGAAGTTGAGGGTCATGTTGCCGACGAGGCGCGGGCGCACCGAGTCGCAGCGCTGGGCGCGCTTGAGCAGGAACACGAGCAGGCGGCGCGCGGCCGCGTCCAGGTACAGCCACTCGCAGCGGTGCACGGCGTACACCACGCCGCCGCTACCGCGCGACAGCTTCTCGCCCAGGATGCACAGCCAGGCGTAGCTCATGATGGCCACGATGCCGGACAGCAGCGAGCGCGTGCTGGGGCCCTCGAAGAGCGCCTGCAGCGCGCACACCATCACGGCCGTGTTGCCGCCCCAGTACACGGACGACAGGAACGGGCTGTACAGGTCGTTGAGCTCCTGCAACCGGCCGGCCAGGCGAGGCGGTCAGTCATTGCGCCTGGGTCCAGAGGCGGCCGGAGGGGAGGCCAAAGCAACACTTTTCGCCCGCGTAGGAGAAAAGTGATGATTTTGCCCTCCTTTCAGGCGGCTATCTACTAGTGATGATGCACAGGTCAGAAGACCCGCGCAGACGGTTTCTAGACGCGTTTTGAGCCCCAGGGTCGCTAAATGGGACTTGAACCGAGCGTTCACCGGTGGTGGCGGTCAAAATCCCGGACGCGCTTTGACCCCAGAGTCGCTAAATGGGACTCGAACCGAACGTGTGACCCCACCAATGGATTCCTCGAGCCCCATTGAACGACTCGGGAGTTCAAAAGGCGCTGGTCTTCTGGCAAATCCAAGGTGCCCCTCACCTTGCTGAGGTCGAGCACGGCGCGGTGCAGGCGCGCGCTGCGCTGCACCTGCTCGAACGACGTGGCGGCGATGATGTCGTTGTGCAGCATGCGGTACATGGCGACGATCTTGGTGCCGCCCTCGGCGTGGCAGCACTGCAGCAGTACGATGCTGAGCGCCACGGGCAGCAGCGTGTAGCTCAGCACGGCGTACTCGGCGAAGAAGGCGACACTGTAGGCACTGCGCCGCCCGCCGTGCGGCAGCACGCCGAAGAAGGCCTCGCCCGTGGCCAGCGGCGTCACCACCATGGCCAGCGCCAGGCTGCCCATGTTGAAGAAGGAGAAGATGAAGAGTGTGCGGCCCAGGCGCATGCGAAGCCGCAGGTCGCGCACGTGCTCCAGCGTCACGTTCGTCTCCAGCTCCGCTGCAGGGGAAGAGTGGCGGTGAGAAGCGCACAGTGGATTTGCCAGAAGACCGGTGGAGGCGGCCAAAACCCTAAACGCGTTTTGAGCTCTAGATTCGCTATGGGACTCGAACCGAACGTGTGACCCCACCAATGGATTCCTCGTTCGGAGAGCCATCCATTAGTGGGGTCACACGTTCGGTTCGAGTCCCATTTAGCGACTCTGGGGTCAAAGCGCGTCCGGGAGTTTGACCGCCACCACCGGTGGCCCACTGTGGAGCGGGGAGTGCACTGTGAGGGGGAGGACGCTCACAGACGACGTGCTCCGTGCGCTCCAGCCAGGCGATGAAGGCCGGCACGAAGGTGGGGGTCATGCCGCTGAGGAAGTACACGCCGGACAGGTACACGAAATCCACCACGATGGGCAGCAGGCCGAGCAAGTTCCTGCACAAGCCGAGCACGTGTAACACTCCCTGGCGGCGCGCGCGCTGGCGCCTGCCGACGGCGGCTACCTGTCCAGGATGTGCTTGACGGCGAGCACGAGGCTGAGCACGGCCTGCAGCACGGCGAGCGGCCTCATGAGCGGGGCCTTGGTGGCGGCGATGAGGACGTGCACCGCCTGGCCGTGCGGGTGCTTGCCCCACGCGCCCTCCAGGACATGCCGCGCGCGCCGGACGTACCGCGACACCACGTAGGCGGGCTCGGCCTTCACGTCCTCGTCGTCGTTCTCGAAGTCGGAGTCTGCAACAAGCGGCGTGCCGAGCGGCGTGCACCCCGACTGGCTCCGCCTCCCCCTCGCCCTCAAGATCCCCAGTCCCGCGCACCGTCGTCGAGGACCGGGCTGTGCTCCGCCTCCAGGGCCTCCAGCTCCACGTCGTCGTCGCCGTCCATGGTCAGGGGTCCAACGCTCGGTCCACCGCGCCTCCAGGCTGCAGGCCGACTGGGTCGCCGACTGGGTCGCCGCCTAGAACCACTTTCGCATGTCGCGGCCGGAGAAGTTCGCAGTCATCGGCCATCCATCAATAATTAACCACTGCGCGCGACCTTCGGGTCGGTCGATGAGATTTGCCTCGAAAAATTAAGGCAGGTCAGATCGCCAGCTGTCTCTTCAGAGGCTTGACCCAGAGGAGGTTGACGACCGACCAGAGATCGTTACCTCGCGCTGTTTCAAATATTCGCGTGTGATGCAAGCTCTGCCAATTGACAAGTCAAAAAAAAAAGTTCATCCGAGATCGGCAAAACCGTAGTCTAAAACCACCCTTTATCTTACCAGACTCACGTTGAACGTTGCCGCGTAAAACAACAACAACAACAACAACAACAACAACAACAACAAACCGATGCAGCTGCAAGGCCCGACCAATCCACTGACCTGCCAGCGACGCTGTTCAAAATTCCCGCTTCATCTCCCGCCACTCCACCTCCCCACCCCACTCCACGTTCAAATATGAAAAATTAGTGCTGCAGTGCGAGCCTCAAAACCAAACACTACACTTGCGTGCAGCCAAAATTTTTAAACCTTTACTCGCATTGTTGGTTGTTGCTATCATGAATGCTCTAAGAGCTCTGGTATTAAGAAACGCAAACATTTCTTCTCACTTGGTAAGTAACGTGTGCCTTGAGCGTCTCAGACTAAAGAAAATGTGACGACTGGAAGCAAAATTAACCTCAATTGAGTATTCTTTTTTTGACTACTGATCAAATCTTTTTCAGAAATTGATATGTGGGCGTGAAAGCATTCCTGCTGCTTCTTTCGCGACAGAAGCTCCTTTAGATGTCGAAGAACCTGAGATCCCCGACGTTCCTGAGAGCACCGATGGATTTGTTCTTCCAGGACGCAAGCATGTTTACGAACCAGGATATTTAGATGTGAGTATGACTGAATAGTTGCATATGTAGTTTCAAACTTTTCGTTACCCTAAAATATTACTGTTGTGTACCTTGGATTTTCAAATCGCTTTGTTTGCCTGCTGAATTACCAATAATCTACACAACTTTGTCTTTGATTTGCAGAAACTGAAACCCGCTATTCCGCCTTATGATCTAATTGACATAGAAATGAAAGGCTATGATTTTGCAGTTCTTGAGAATCTACAAAGTATAGTATGCAAACTATTAACCGCCTCAAATATTGATGTAATTGATGGGTAAGTATATGAACAGCTCTTGTTTTTGGCACCCATCATAATAATTGCCTAGTAAATACTCGTTTAATTCAGCTGGGCAGTGCGTGCTGAGTCATGGCACATTCAGCGATTTGAACCAAATTCATCTAAAGTAGCAGGAGAGTTCAATATGAAAGAATATAAGAGAATGTTGCAGGTAAGCTTTGCTGGTTTGACTTAGAACGTCTTTGTATTGAATATCTGCAATTGCCTTCTTCTATATTGGTTTTCGTTTTCTGTTTTAGTTGGCTGATCTTCCAGCAACAAAATTGGGTCTCGTCATTGAGCTGCTACAGAGTGTCGCTCCCCCCGGTGTAACGTGCTCAGTACTGCAGCACTCTGAACAAATCGAGAAAGATAAATATATTCCAGACATGGGAATAAAGGCTTTACAGGAACAGTTGGACGAACTTGGAGGCCCCTCCAAACTGGCACTTCAAAGAGAAAGAGAAGCCAAATACAATAAATTAAAATAATGCTTGTATGTGGTGGCTTGGTAAAGTGTAATAAATGTTAATTATCTTTACCCTGTTTCCCATTTATTTCATTGAACGAACAATGCTTCGTTTTTCTTGAATAGGCACAAGCATGCCTGCAATGGGGATTTCTCCAATCCATTCTTTTTCCTCCGCAATGCAGACGACAATAGCAGACGACACGTACTGTACTCATCGCGCGATTTTTCATACGGGGTGCGCTGCCCGTCTAGCAGACGACGTCAGAACAAAACAACAGCACAGCAGAAGCCTCGCCTCGATCGCGCTCGCGCAGCACAGCAGCCATCACCCCGTGTCATCTCTGTTTTGATGCGGATAGCGTCACCAAATTATGTATTGATTCGGGCCATGGGGTAGAGCCGCACGCTATTCTCTCCTTCTCTTCATGTAACCTTCAAACCCCCATCCAGGCTATGAAGAGGTCAAAAGGTAGGCAGAGTTCCTCGCTGCGCTACTCGGTCCGGAGGGGCCTGCGCGAGATCAAAATACTGCTTCTGCTTGAACGGGTACTCGGGGCGATTCGAATGATGTGAAGGGATGACTCCTTCTTTCATGGCTTCGCAATAAGGGCTCAGTTTCGACAGTTGTTTCTCTCATGGAATTTTCGGTTTCTAATGTCATCACACTTTTCCATTGAACAAACCACTGGCCAATCGTCACTTTTTCAAAACCAACTTTTGTGTTTATTGTTGTTTTATTTTCAGATAGAGTTGCTATGCTCTCTCGCTGCGTTGGTGAAGCAGCACTCCTGCAAACTCTACCATGCAATTCAGATAGTGTCACTTGTTGTGACTTTGGTGTCAATTTCCTTTTTGCAGCTGGCTCGAGGTGAGACTTGTAATTTATAGTACGACTTGCTTCACACTGCTTAAAGTTTTAGTATCTTAGTGTAATACATGCATTTATTTGACACTCAGTGAGAAGATTGTACGAGTATGGGAATGGGTCAAAGGCTCTGGCTTTGTCGAAGCGTCTTTTTCCCATTTAGCTGGTCACCGATATGCCATTACAAGCGTGCGTTTTTCTCCTTTGGGAACTATGTTGGCAAGCTCCTCATCAGATGGAAGTACAATGTTGTGGAACACAAGGGTAAGCAGTGTTGGAAGGGAAAGAACGGTCATCTCGTCGATTTTTGGTGCACATAAATTAAATCTTTGTATTGGTTACAGACTGGCGTTCGTATTCATACATTTGTTCAAACCAATGGTTGTGCTGTACGCCTTAGTATTTTTGCTCCAAACTCATCATTCCTTGTAAGTGCTGGTGATGATGGTGGAATATGTGTTTGGGACATTTTGAGGCGTGCGTTAGTAAGGTAAGTTACATAGGTTGGAAATTTTTTTAAAAATCAAATTCAGAAAGAAAATTGTTTAAAATTCTTCTGTTTAGGTCTGTTCAAGCTCATGATGCTACTATTCAAGCTATGTCATTCAGTCCTGATTGTAAATATCTCTTAACATCTGACACTGTTGGTATCCTTAAGTTGTGGAAAGATTTGATTGAACCCACTAGTGATTTGGTTGAGGCTCCAAGTACATCAGACTCTACTGATACCCTAGTTTCTATTGTGGAGGATGCACATGATCTTGGAGTCACCGGGTCAGATTTTGCTTCAATTCAAGAAACGCCAGGTTGGCCTCTTGTTAAATTTACTTAATGCTTGTGCTGAATTTGGAACCTATCTTTTTGTCTAATATTAACTGTAAAAATTATCTTTTCTCAGCTGACAATGTCCTTGCGACCCGTTACACATTGGCAACTTGTGGGAACAATCATTTGGTAAAGGTATGGTCATTTGTCGTAGTGCATCCCTCTAAACAGTGGAACCCTCCGCACTCTCCAGCATCAGGATCTGGAAGGCAGAGTCTGGTTCCAACCCCCGAACTGGGAAGTCCAGTCAGCCCAAACAGCCTGGGTCCTCGAAGAGAGAATAGTTTTAGGATAAGGGATAAGCGAGAGAGCAACGAAAGTCTCCGGAGAAGAGGAAGCAGTATCAGGAGGCGACACAAGCATTGTCAAGTTTCTCTCAAACTGACTTTGGAGGGGCATGGATCTGATGTGACATGCGTCAGATTTAATGCAAGTGCCACTCGCCTTGCATCTTCTTCACTTGATAAAACCGTACGATTGTGGGAAGTAAGTGTCCCCTTTTCTTCGAACCATTTCGACAATTTTTCTACCCTGTACCTTCTTAGCTATGACACTGATGTTTACTGCTTTTTTACCCTCTCCTCTATCATCAGATTCCAAGTGGCACCTGTCTTCGGGTGTTGGAAGGTCATACAAGATATGTAGCTTGCTGTGCATTTTCCCGTGATGGATCTCTGCTTGCATCTGGTATAACAAAAAACATATAGAATGGATTTTTCAACTATTTTCAAATTATTGTTGTTTTTACATTTTAATGCTGTTTTTAATTACAGGCTCAAATGATAAAACTATCTTAATGTGGGATGTGAAAGGAAAACTGTCTTTGGAAACTGACCTGGCACCATCCTTGAGCGCTTTTCGTGATAAATTATCAGGATCTAGCTTTGACAGTACTTGCGGACCTGTAAGTTTTTTTTCAAGGGCACACTTTTTCTTTTACCATCTAGTTTTCCCAACATATTAATAATAAATATTTTCAGCCTGATGCGTCAGTTCTGGAGGGAGGTCCAAAATCCTCTGAGTCTCATGCCACACTCCGTGAAGTCCAACTCTTGCAACGAATTGAATGTCCACATGGAGCAGTCAACACTTGTGATTTCTTTGGCAATAACTTGTTGGCCTTCGGAGGAGGGTAAGTATACATAAAACTTTTTTCTACATACATATTAATTGTTCAATTACACTGGTTTTTGCATACTTTTGTTAAATACAGCGATAAAATGGTTCATATTTACTCCAAAATTGATGGAGGTCTGAGGTTTCAAGAAGCTGAAAATGCTTCTCCCATTGAAGCTCATGCCTTTGCTGTGAACCAGGTAGAGTTTTCTCCTTGTGGAAAATATGTAGCCTCATGCTCTGCTGATGGATGTGCAGTTCTCTGGGATACTGAGGTAAGTTTCACAAAATCAATTAGTCTGTGTTGTGACTCACATTAAAAATAGGCTGAGTTTCTAACTGTGCTTCTCAACATTTGCAGACTGGCAAACGGGTGCCTGGTAATTTTGGGACTGGTCGCAGTGCTATTAGAACTTGTCGATTTTCCCCTGATGGCAAACTTCTTATTTGTGCTGGTGATGATCAGACAACCAGTGCATGGCGAACGGACACTGGAGAACTTTTCATGTAGGTTTACATATCAAGTACAAGGTCACAAGACTAACCTAATCTGAAGTTTATTTTGATAATGTTTTTATTTATTCTTGTTATCTCCAGGTCTGTAGAAGGGCACAGTGAAGCTGTTACTGCTTTGGCCATCTCCCCAGACAGCCAGTTTTTAGCCACCGCCTGCAGTGCTGGGCATGTTCGAGGCTGGGCCATTGTGTCAATTTGGGACCAATGTTTAATGTTGCAGGAAGATGCCCATGATCTGGGCGTTCAAAGCTGTGATTTTTCTCCATCAGCTGGAATGTATGGTATGTATGGCCTGACATTTGACATTAAAGGTTTTTATCAAAGATCCCATCCAAATTGTTCTGAATTGCTCAGGTTCTGAGAGCTATTTGTTGGCAACTTGTGGCAATGATTCTATGGTAAAATTATGGAAAGTGCCCAAGGACATTTGTGCTCCACCCACACCAACTTCTCTGTTGCTGAGTGCACCGCCAGCCCCAGCCAGCCCGCTACGTTCTCCCAAACCCCCTCCAGGAGCAAAACTTGTGCGCACCTTTGTTGGTCATGGGGGAAACGTAATGTGTGTACGTTTCACTCCTGATTCTGGGGAATTTTTAGTTTCTACAGCCTCTGATTCTACAGCTCGCATATGGAGTGTTGTAAGTTTCTGAAGTAAATTCAAGACTCATATTTTTCATGATCTGTAAATGGACATTTTGTTAAAAAAAAATTTTCTTCAGCACTTGGGAGATTGTCTTTTTGTGCTGGAAGGACACAAAAAACATGTAACGTCATGCACATTTTCATCTGATTCTTCTCTTCTAGCTACAGGTATGTGAAGTCAGATATGTCCTATATATGCCCTTGCAATTTTGGTTTTTGTTTATTTAGTGAATTATGATTAATTTTAATTTATTTGCTTCAGTTGTTTTCTATTTGTTGGGCATGCTTTATCATCTTTTGCTTCAACCCTTTTTTTAAGAGACTTCTCGGTAAGTCTTTGTGATGTCATGCTATGTTAGTTTTTATTTATTTCCGTTTTCTTTTATGCACATGTAATATTATTTTCGGTTTGGCATTTCCCTTTTTACTTTGAATGCGTAACAGATAGATCCTAATCAACTTTTTTTTTAAATAACAGGATCTCTTGACAAATCTCTGATTTTGTGGCTCCTTCCTGATCATCTTGTGTACCAGAGTGTCGCTGCTTCTCGTTTACGTGGTCAACCACTTTATGTATGTAACCTAGTTTGTAGTCCATTACAACTCATTACTTCTGTTTTTTGCACTAATATTGTCTTGTCCTTCATAGGCTCTCGACTGGACTCCTGATGATGTAATATCGTGGCTAAAGCGTTCTCTCTCATTTCCTATTGATCCATCTATTTCTGTGGCAGAAAATTTAGATGGTTGTCAGATACTCACGCTACCAGAAACTGAAGTTGCTTCCATTTTGTCCATAGGTATAGCTTAATTTTGATTGTTCTTCCTGCTAGACATGTATTTTGGCAATGATCAGATAAGTCGTTTCTACAAAGAAATTTCATAAGGCATTTTTCCCCTTCTTTAGACAACCCAGACCAAATTCATGAATTGACATTGCAGCTGAAGTGGTTACGCCATGAAGAACTTAATATATGTCGACCAGAAATAGCGAGCAACTTTGATGTCCCACACGAGTTTCTATGCCCCATAACAAGGGAAGTTATGAGAGATCCTGTTGTGTGTGCAGGTACGTCGCTTGTAGGGAATTTTGTAACTTGTATTTATGTCACATTGCCACACTACACATTGTTTTGTTTATTTTCTTAGATGGTTTTACCTATGAACGAGCTGCTATTGAAGAATGGTTCCTGAGTGGAAAGTTGACGAGTCCCATGACCAACTCAACATTGGCAAGTCTTGCGTATCGGCGTCATTCCCAGCTGAAGCGTGCCATCTCTGAATTTTTATATGATGATTCCTCAGATCCTAATGACACTGAGTAGATTTTTTGGTGTTTGCCAACCAGAAAGAGGTGGTCAAAAATAGATCTATTCAATTGCAAGTCAATAATTTTAAATGGATTTTACATCAAATCTTTGTTGAAGTTACACCAAACCACCCTTTTGTGACTAGGTTTACCTAATGTTTTGGTTTCATGACATGTTGAAGTAAATTTGTAATCTTCTATCTAAACTGCTTAATATCAATGCAATGCAGTTTCATGTTTACTTTTTCATGTCTCAGCCAATGGGCTTAGAAAATAATCTATTTTTTGTTGAGCCTTCTTTATATTTGTGCCTGTGATAATGTGTGCCCTTTTTGTGTTTGAAAAATCCTATAATGTAAGCAAGTTTTCCGTAACTTGTTGGAAAATTTTAAAACCGTTTGCACCACCCCTCCAGTATTAGCCTACACTTACCCTTTCACATGTATTTGGTAACAGTACTAAGTATTTATATATGTACATTCGATGTGTTTCTTTGTTGCTCTTTTTTTCAATTGTTAATTGTGAGCATGGCCATTCGCTCAATTGTTTATGTGATATCCTAATTTAATGTTGATTCAGTCCTTGGATGGACACTATGTTGTAATAATGGTGCTCCCTAATTTTTTGTTAGTTGTTAAGTGCCTTTTTTTTTTTTTTTTTTGTTCATACCAATATCTCAAATTAGTGAATATTTAAAAATATTGACTGCCAATTGATGCTGCAGAGGGTGACCCGCTCGCGCCGGTAGATCGGAAAGTAGTCAACACTTGATGCACTTGCCAGCAGCGCGCCAGGGGCCGATGGGTGAAGCGGTGAGTGGTTCACTTTCAATCTACCGGCGGAGGCGGGCCACCGCACGGGCCTCCCTGTGCCGTTGCATTGCACTTACCAGCAAAATGACTATTATTTAAGTGTTCTCTACTTCTCATTGTCTATGTCATGTTACAAGTTTGATCAATTATATCTTCCTCACAAGTTTATGAGCGAGGGAGTTCTCCCTCCAAATATTAAAATTAACAATTCTAAATATCTTGCATATTAGTTGAAGTTTAATTCCCGCCTCTTTAAATTTTCATTCTATCTTCATCCATTGTGAATTTTGAAAACATTATTTAGAACCATAATTTATTCAACTAAATTGTCTTTTGAATTAATGCGCACCTTTTAATTACATAGTCTTTCACCTTTAAAAACAACCCTTGTCTATAAAAGGGCTTAAATAGCAAGTTGTGGATTATTACTACTGGTAAGTTAAGCTGCGGATGTCCAGTGCTGTTATACTTATTCTATTGATTTTATCTTTGTAATTTATCCCATATCTTGCAAATCCTAAATATTAAAAATATGACCATGTACAAGATTATCTTAAAAATGATAAATTACCGATTTTGTGCAGACTTTAGCGTTTTCTTCAGAGATTGTCGCGATTCTGTATTTCCGCAGGCAATCGGCGCATTGTGCAATCTATGCAACTAAAAAAATATAAACTGTGCACGCAAAAAAAAATCAAGGATGTAAACTTTTTGTGTTGTTGTTATAATTACTGACCGACCAAGGGACCATTGTTTTCTGAAAGTTAATTATTTGAAATACAGCTTAACGGAAAGGATGAGTCTTAATTGTTGCTCAGCGCGGGTTGCCTACCCCGTCCACTCAACTCTTGACCGTTGCCACTGGCAATGCCAGGACCCTCGACGACCACGACTCGAGTCCTCAAGCGGACGGTAATCCCGATCGTGAAGACTGATTCCGAGAGTCTTTTTCGTCGCTGTCTCTGTCGTGAGGCGCCCTTTATAGGTGCGAGAGAGACAGCGACGAAGATCACTCGGAATGAGTCTGCTGGTTCCGAAAAAAAGAATGGCCAGGTGCAGTGGCAGGCAGCGCGGCGTGAGCGACCTCACGTATACCCGTTTCTCCGCCTGCTTCACGGGATTCTCAAAGAGAGATAGCGGTAATTAAACATCGATAGCGGGGGCGGGGCACTCGTTGGATGTCCAACGGCGCTACTTGTCTTTGGCACGTAGCCCTCCCTCTTAACCGTCCTTGTGTTAACGCTCCAACGGTCTGTCGGGCTCCGTCTGCCGCACCATGAGGACGTCCCTAGTTGTTGGTGAGTGTCCGCACCCGAGTATAGCAGGAGCCACTCACTCAGGGACTTCCCCCAACAACTTCCACAAACCTTTGACTGGAGTTTGAGCCGCAAAAAGCCACCGACTGACCTAGGCTAGTGCGTGTTTCAGCCGTTTCAGCGGCCCTGGTGGCTTTGTGCGCGCTGGCGCTGCCCGTCCGGGCGAAGGCTGCCCTGGACGCCAAGGGCGCCGCCGAGCAGTGTGTCTGCCAGCTCTCCGACCCGCGCCGACCGCTCCAGCTGGTCCGAGGCGCGGACCAGGTGTCACGCTGCGAGAAGGGGGAGTACTGCAACTGCGCGGCCAAAACCGTCGCGATCTGCGACTTCAGTTTCATGGAGGAAACGTTCCGGTTCAACGAGGAAGAGCAGATGTGTGACTTCCGCGTGGACTGCCAGGCTTTCTTCGACCGGACGACCGTAAGCCCGGCGACTGCAGAGCCGACGCCGCCGACGTTGCCCCCGCTGCCCACCGAGCCAGAGGTGACCACGGCCGCGGCCCCGACCTCCCCGCCAGAGCCCTGTCGTTGCAGCGACGCCAGCCGGGCGCTGCAGCTGATCCGAGGCGCGGACCAGGAGTCACGGTGCCAGACGGGGGACTACTGCGACTGCCGCGCCAAAACCGTGCAGCACTGCGACGACTTCGAGGCCCTGGGCGAGCGGATGAGGTTCAACGAGCAGGACCAGGAGTGCGACTTGACGTTCGACTGCCAGGCGTTCTTCCGGGGCCCCACGGAGCGGCCGTCGACGGCCACACCGCGCACCGCGGCCCCCACAGCGGCGCCCGCCACCGCGCCGACGTCGCCGCCGCAGCAGTGCACCTGCGCCGACCCGGGGGACGCCAGCCGGGCGCTCCAGCTGGTCCGCGGGGCGCTGGGCGGCGCCAGCGAGCTCGCGCTGTGCCAGAGGGGCGACTACTGCCACTGCGCGTCCAGGACCCTCCAGCACTGCGACTTCACCTTCCTCGGCGAGACGGCCAAGTTCGACGAGGAGCAGCAGATGTGCGACTTCGACTTCGACTGCGAGGCGTTCCTCCGCGCCACCCCAGGACCGGCCGCCCCCACCCCCAGGACCTCCACGACGGGGACGTCGGGGACGTCGGGGACGTCGGGGACGTCGGGGGGCTGGGTGCCCTCGTCCGGCTCCACCAGGGTGGCCCTGTCCGCCACGCTCTTCTCCCTCACCGCCGTGCTCACCGTCGTCAACCTCCTGCTGCTGTACCGGCGGGCGTGCTGGCCGCGGTTGTGGGTCCCCCACCAGCGCCGCCCTGCTACCCGTCCCGGCCGGCGGGCGCGCCTGCAGTGCCTACAGTGTACTCCCCCGAATTCGAAAACTGCACTCGCAAGGTGCCGCTGCAGAGTGTAGCGTGAGTAGTGGACAATTACGTGCCACACGGGGATAACGTCAGGAAAAAAAGATTCCTTTCCTATTTGTCAGTGTTACGGTGGTTACGGTACTCCTGGCTTGACTGGACTGTTTGTATACCAAAGAAAACGAGTGGCGGTTTGCGTTTACTTCTGAATGGATGGAAGGGTTCAAGGCTTGTAAATATATTTTGCTTTTTTATATTTTAATACTATGTCATATAGAAACAAATACTTGCCCTGTCTCCTAAAAACCACTGGGCATTCCCTCTACACGCAACATTTATTTTACGTGAATGGGAGGCAAGTTTTTAAAGAGATTTAGTAATCTGAAATTGCAGCCCTGAGCTTATCATTGTGGAGCTACTTCTGATTGACTAGCTCTACTCTGCAACTACCCCCCACTACAAAAAGCAAGGCACCGGCAGAACAAAATGCGTCCTGAATTTAGTTTCGACTCACACCGCCGCTATTTCAAGTGGCAGTAAATCACATCTTGCCGGACGCTTCATCCCAGAACTGCATTCGCTCCGGAAACACGTTGCCGTCCTTCATGACCAGGTTGTCGCCGATCTCCAGGTAGCCGGGCTTGTCCAGCGTCGACGGCGCCCATTCTACGTTCAGCAGGTCGGTCTTAGCCGGAGTCGGGTTCCTGGAACGAAAACAGAAGCGGGTGAACGAAATCCTCGCGACAGGTACCAAAAAAAGGCGATGTTTGAAGGACTGGCCTACATTTGGCTCACGAAGTTGGCGATGAGGGTGGACATCCTGTTGACGGTCATGTCGTAGCGCTCCTTCTCCGTGGTGCCGGCGTCGCTCACCAGGTGGTTCTTGAACACGTAGCCCCAGTCGTCGCCGTGGCCAGCGCCTGCCAAACGTAACATGTCACACCGGCTGGCGAAACAGGAGCTCGAACCGAGCGTGCGACCCCACCAATGGATTCCTCGCTCGGAGAGCAATCCATTGGTGGGGTCACACGTTCGGTTCGAGTCCCATTCAGCGACTCTGGAGCTCAAAACGCGTCCGGAATTTTAGCCGCCCGCGGCCCACTAGCCCACTGTGCGCACCTTTGATGGTCTTGCTGGTGCCCATCATGAAGGAGATGACCCCGAACGCGTCCTGCGTGAACAGGTACTGGTACACGGGGGCCTTGGCGTGCTTCATGTGCCAGTGGGCGGCCATGTGGTTGCCGTGGATGATGGCCTCGTCACCGAATACCTGCAGCCAACAAGTTTGAAAACTCCAGTATTTTTCAAATTTAATTTAAAATGAGAGGGAAATGAAAACGGTAGATGTGGTACATCGGCGGCCAGGGTGAGCGTGTCCTTGCCGATGGGCTTCCCCTTGAAGTACAGGTCCTTGATCTTGGCCGTCAGCTCCTCGCGCCCGTTGGCGTCGAGCTTCTCGTAGAGGTTGGGCGTCAAGAGCAGCGTCGGGTTGGCCTGCAGCCGCGTCACGTCGTCGTCGTGGACCCTCCCTGCGGACAGACAAGGATGGCGCTCGCTTTCTCGCTCGGCCCCGCAATGCCGCACAGTGGGCCAGAAGACCGACATCATCATCATCATCAGCGCTGTTAGGCCTCAGCAGGGAGGCGGTCAAAATTCTGGACGCGTTTCGAGCCCCAGAGTAGCTAAGCAGGACTCGAACCCGACGTGTGACCCCACCAATGGATTGCTCTCCGAACGAGCAATCCATTGGTGGGGCTCTCCGAACGAGCAATCCATTGGTGGGGGTTGAGCCCTATTTAGCGACTGTGGGGCTTAAAACGCGTTCGGGATTTTGACCACCTCCACCGGTCTTCTGGCCCACTGTCACCGCCGCCCTTGACCGATGCTCACCGGCGATCCACGTGCCCTCCTTGTCGTTGACGCCGAGCACGACGGGCACCTCGGTGTTGAACTCGCCCGCCTTCAGGATGTCGACGGGGTGCTGCTCGAAGAACGGCTCCTCGCCGCCCGGCACCTCCACCACCGGCGCCCACACGTTGATGTGGACCAGCGAGCGGTCGCTCTGCGGAGCACAGGGGCAAAGTTGGAACCCCTAGTTGGAGGTCACGGCGCGCAGCAGCGGTCTTGCCTACCTTCTCGGCCATCATGGCGCCCACGCCCTTGAGGACGTCCTTGACGGGCGCGTCGCGGAGGAACTGCGTGCGGCGCACCGCGTCCGCCACCGTGTCCGCGCCGGCGCCCATGGCCTCGGCCAGGCGGCGCGCGTTGCCGTCCACGTCCGACTGCATCGCCCAGAAGCTCTGCGCCGTGCCGCCCGACATGATGGCGCCGTGGAACAGGCCTGCGCACCGAGACCACGCCGTCGACACATGAGAAGCGCCTGGCGGGTAGGCAACCCAGCGCATGGCTGCGCACTGGGTTGCCTACCCAGCTCCGCGCGGGCGCTCCTCCCGGCCTGCACACTCCGCACCAAAAGTCCCGCGACAAACGCCAACGCCGCCGCTGTCGGCTGGCCGATGGCCGATGGCCGCGGACTTGGCGGTTCGGACCGTTTCGTGCGACGAGCCTGATGCTATCTCCGCGCACGGCGCGCAGTGCTGCAGGCCTTTACCGGGCGGCCTGCGCGCACGCGACCAGCGTCACGGCTACTCCATGAAAACCACCGAGACTTTGTTTCCCTCAACGCGCCCGTTGTGGTGACGGGGTCGACGCGTACCTTTGGAGCCCGGCGACAGCACCTGCATGTGCGCGGACACGGACCCCGCGCAGCCGCCGTAAATGGTGACCTTGGCCGGGTCGCCGCCGAAGTGCTGAATGTTGTCCCTGACCCACTTAAGGGCCAGCCGCTGGTCCTTCAGGCCCGCGTTGCCCGGCGCGTCCGACGAGTTGGTGGCCAGGAAGCCTGCGGGGCCGGGCCATCTCGTTATCGAGAGCAGGAAGTGGACGGGCCATATTCATCCGGACACTAAAATAGCCCCGAATCAAACACTTGAGGGTACTTTTGGAATCCTCGACGGGAGCGGAATCCAACGATACCCTCACATGTTCAATTCGAGTTATTTTCGAGTTTTATTCGAGTTGTGCTCACCGAACGGCCCCACGCGGTAGTTGAGGGTGACGAGCACCACGCCGCGGTCCATGAGCGTCTCCGGGCCGTACATCATGTAGTCGCCGCTGCCCATGAGGAAGCCGCCGCCGTGGAACCAGACGAGGACGGGGAGCGCGGCGTCGGCGGGCAGCTTGTCCACCGGCGTGTACACGTTGAGGTACAGGCAGTCCTCGGACACGTGCATCATGTGCCTCGCCACCGCCTTGGCCGCGCCCGGCAGCGACGCCACCACCTTCAGGGCGTCGGCCGCCGTCGTCACGCTGGCTTGCGGTTTCTAAACAACAAGAACAAAAAAATTAAACAAAAAATTTTAATTGCTTTTAGCTATTTGTTTTGACGATCTTACCGCCGGTGGAGTTGGCTGCGGACACATGTCGCCCTCGCTGTGGGCGGCGCGCACCCCTTCCCAGGCCGCGGCGGGCTGGGGGGCCTGCAATGCCATGGTGGTCGGTCAGTCGCTGTCGAATGCGCCAACAACGGCCAACGACGACAACAACAACAACGGCGTACCTTGAACCGCAGGTCCCCGACGGGCGGCATTCCGTAGGGCACCCCGTAGAACGCCATGAACTTCTTGCCACCCGTGCTCGTCTGGAACAAGCCAGTCAGCTGGCCCTGGTTTATCTTGATCGCTGGCGCTGGAAGAAGAGGCGGGAAGCGGCTTCGAGTTAAGTGAGGTTAGTGTTTTCTTTTGATTTGAATGTATGAAGAGGCGGGAAACGGCTTCGAGTTAAGTGAGGTCAGTGTTTGACTGAGTCACGCCCCTGCGTCCCTGTTAGCATTGTATCACATTTGTTTAAATGTGAATCAGTAAAAAAAAAAAAAAGCCTTGCCAAACGAATGCAACAATGTTCAGAGGAGCGTGACATTAAGTCACATTCGTTTCGACCTGATATCTTGTTCCTGGATCGTCCGGTCGGCTTCGGTCGGCACCCAGTAATTTTGCCCAAAAGTTCGCGTGCAATGATGAATCAGTGACTCGAACGGCTAGGTTCGACTAATCACAAGGTCTAGGAAGGCCAATAGGCCAGCGGGTGCACATCATGCTGTGGTTGGGCGGGTCCAGGAACTCACGAAAAAAAAAAAAACTTCAACTTTCGACGGTCGTGACTAGCTCGCGTTGGTACTTACTGACTTCATTTCGGTCGAATATCCCCGCCGAAGAAAACGACACCAGCAGCGCCAGCAGGCATCCTGAAAATGAATGAGAAGATAATGAAACGCCCCCAAAATTCCTGGAATACATACCCTGTGTCAGGTTCATGATTAGTATTAAAAAGCTCCACTTGCAACTCGTCATGGCCCCAGACGAAGGCCGTGCTTGACCTATCTGTCATCAAAGATCGCCGATGATAGCCGCCAGCATTTTGAATTGCGCAACAATTCGACCTCTCGTTGCAACCATGCTAGAGCGCAGTGATTAAAAAACGAGTGTCCATTTTCCTCTCCAAATCGTGCGTTATGTTGGCTTCACCGAGTTTCTTGTCATAAAAATTGAGTGTCGTAAGCACTATAGAGAGTCTGAAATTTTCACTGCGGGTCTATTAGTGCAAAAAATAAACCGGGTTCGAATGAGTACAATTTGTTTTCAGTCAGCTAAATCGGCACCCAAATGGATCTGGACGGAAACTAAATCAAGTCCTCTTTCAAAAAGCAAGAGTGCTAGATTGACTCGTCGAGGCGAGGTGCGAGTCTTACCTGCACTGCCCAATGAACGTGCTGTCCCCATGGTGGTCGCCGCTGTTCTGAACTCTGGACGAATGGCAATGGCTCTCGGTCACATCCAGTACGTCCCGGCCGGCCGCTCTGTGGCCGCGCCGTGCCGTGCCGGCTATAACCCGCAATTTCGGCCTCATCGCTGTCTCTCTCTCACTCCCACTCACTCTGTCACTGAGGGGAGGGTTGCCGGGTCTTGCTCTACGCGAAGCCTAGGTCCTTCGGGTACTGACCAGATTTTCCGACGTTGCGTCACTGCCACTGCACGCAACTTGAACGTGTGTGTGTGTTGTTTGTTTTTTGCCGGTCGCTTTGCGGCCCTCCCACGAGACACGCGACCAGCGGGGAGTAGCGTCGTTCGGCGGGCGCGGAGTAGCGCTGCGTCCTGCTGCCGATACTCCCTGCTGGGCCTCCCCCCTCCCCTCCCCTCTCGCCCGGAGCTCCGCGTTGTGGTCTAGCCTCTAATGGTAATGGCAATGCTCCGCCAGGCCGACCCCCAGGCACGGCGGTGCGGCGGGTGGCCGATGCTGGCCGCAGCAGGCGCTCGCCGCACCCGTGTGGCCCGAGACCTGGTAAAGATGGTGTTATTTTGGCGTTCTTCGGACTCCAAATGTACTTCAAATTAACACCAAAAGGACACCATAGAAGCACGCTAAAATAACTCCATAATTACATCGAATGCATTTGGTGTCAACGCGGCGTTATTATGGAGTTTTTTTAGTGTAAAAAGGCTCGTTTTTTCACCAAAAGAACGCCATAATAATACCAAAGCAGAGGACAGCCATAGAGAAAAATGACAAAAGAGAGACGGCAGGTGTTGATCCCCAGATCTGCGACTCGGAAGTTTCGTGCGGAACCGCTTGGCCAGAGCGAGTCCGGGAGGACGAGCCGCACGGCAGCTATATGTCGTGCGTTGTGCCGCGCTCGGACTTAGCCCGAATCCCCGCGGCTGGAGCCCAATCTTGTTTCTATAAACATGAACTCGTACAGTGTAGCAGACCATTACAGGTCCTGTCATGTTATAGAACATAGAACTGGAGCCCAATCTTGTTTCTATAACATGACGGAACCTGTAATGGTCTGCTACACTGTACGAGTTCTGTTTATAGAAAAAAGATTGGGCTCCAGCCGCGGGGATTCGGCTAAGTCCAGCGCGGCACAACGCACGACATATAGCTGCCGTGCGGCTCATCTTCTGGGGTCGCTCTGGCCAAGCGGTTCCGCACGAAACTGCCGTGTCGCAGATCTGGGGATCACCCTGCCGTCTCTCTTTTGTCATTTTTCTCTATGGCTGTCCTCTGCTTTGGTATTATTATGGCGTTCTTTTGGTGAAAAACGAGCCTTTACACTAAAAAAACTCCATAATAACGCCGCGTTGACACCAAATGCATTTGATGTAATTATGGAGTTATTTTAGCGTGCTTCTATGGTGTCCTTTTGGTGTAATTTAAAGTACATTTGGAGTCCGAGAACGCCAAATAACACCATCTTTACCAGGTCTCGGGCCACACGGGCAGCCTGCGGGTTTGATCACGCGGTCTCTGCTGGAGAAACGAAAAGAGAGGAGCGGGGTTTCGAACCCGGCTCCTCCGACCTGGTGACCGGCATGGGCGTCGCTGACTTCCTCAAGATGCCCGTTTTGCGAAGGGAAAACACCTGATGAAAACTTGGCGAAAATTTGCGGACTCGAACCCAGGGATCTAAATTGGTGAATGAGTGAAGATACCCACTCGGCCACGCCGTTTGCAATCCTCAAGAAGGAAGGGGAGAGCGAGTGAGGCAGCGTCGTCGCCGCGTTGCCGTGCTGTCTTGATGCAGCCGCCCACTGTTTTGCCATAGTGGACGAAAAAAAGGAATAAGCGACAGAAAAAAGGAGCAGGAAAACAAGATGGCGTCCGAGACAATGTGCCGGCCGTGGGAACGGAGCATCACCCGGACAGAGTTCCATCATTGGTGCCAACAACCGGACGCTGAATTACTTGAACCATTAAAATAGCACTAGACGCTTCTTCGTTTACCGACGAAAAAAAAGAAGAATAATGTAAAAAGGAGGGAAAATTTTGATTTTTAAACAAAGCGTGGGGAAATCCTCGGCAATCGTAGTCCAGACTAGAATGCCATCCGGGATACTGGTCCCACTCTGCAATAAAAAAAAGTTTACGTGTCATACTCAAGTGGGGGAAGCCGAACAGGGAACGCGCTTGTTGACTTCGCGGTAATCCACTGAATCACCGAGTAGTTCTAAAAAAGTTCAACACCGCGTTTCTGTTTTCTCAAAATTTGGCAACTCTTGGATTTCTTTTTCCATCAATATGTTCGATTTTTCGCAATCTTGCGAGCAATGTTCAAAAAATCTCGCTCGTCTGAAACAGAAGCAAAAAATTATTTGACGTCCTGAAATTTTTTGAGTCGACAATTCGTTACTTTTTTTCTTACAAAAGGTTGAGGTAACCCGGCCTAGAGGGGCAGGTCCGCTGGGCCGCTCGCGGGGCGTGCGGCGCCATGGCGGCACGGGCGCTATGCCCGCGCACGCCGCCTGTGAGAACCGCGGGGTGACCGGCTTCCCGCCCCGGGGCCCTCCCCACCATTCATAGCTCTTTCACCTGTGTGTGTGTGTGAGTGCGTGTGTGTGGTCGAGGAGGGGGTCTGCAGCCCCCGTCCGAATGGAGGACGCCACCACCACTGCGAGAGGAACAGAGAGGCACAGAGGGATTGAGAGAGACAGCCCCCCCCCCCCCCAGCCCTGTTGCGAGAGAGGCACCTCACCGTTGTGCGTGTCTACCTCCTTGTGTGTGTGTGTGTGTGTGTGTGTGTGTCATTACGGTCCGTGTTTTGTTTTTTTTTATTATTATTTTCCCTCCCTTTTCACGCGCTAATTAGTTGGGCAACCTTATGCCGGTTAATCGTGGAGGCCTGATTACCAGATTTATGATAATTGATATTTTTGGAGAAGGGCCGAAAACAAGTTCATCCGAGAGAGTACGACCCCCCTCCCCCACCCAACCCCACCCCCCGCACTTAACAAGGTCTGATCAGTCAGTACGTCGTGGACTTAATTTCTTCATACGCTTAGACGCCCAAAAAGTAACCCACTCATACTGAGATATGTCACTGCACCCATAGCAACACACCCGAATGACAACACGATTTTCAATGTTGTTTTTGTTTTTTTTTACAGTGCGCAGACGTGCTGATGAAATGCTCGCCCTGGACATGCGCCCCGTGCTAATGGATCACGCACTTCTCGGCCTTCAAAGCACACATCGACAGCAGGAATGCGTTGCAGCAGAGCGAGTGCGGCAAGTACACTGTCTTCCCGCAGACATTCAGAGTTCAACTTTTCCAAATAATATGCCACGAAAGCAAACTTGCCAAAGGCAACAAATAGAAATTTTTAAGTTTTAAAAATTTAAATTTTTAATAAGAAAAATAGGATTTTTTTTTAACTTAACGCGAGGATGTTTATTATTTCTTTTCTACGAAAGGCGAACGGAATAAGGAGACGGAGAAGGAGGAAAGGGAAGGAAAGGGAAGGAAAGGGGAGGAAAGCTGAAAAGAGAGGAGACGATAAGGCGAGGTGTGGCGGAGTCATCACTTATCGGCACAGGCATCACCCCAGCATTCCGTGTCAGCGCCGCCCATTGTGGCTGCGTTCCCACACTCCCTCTCTCTCTCCCTCCCTCCCCTCCCTCTTTCTCCGTCGCTCCCGTTGCCGCGAATGGGCAGAGCAGAGCCGGGCAGAGCAGAGCAGGGCAGCGGGATTATATTCTGAGATCTCGAAATTCGAGGGGAGTCTCTCTCATCAGCGACAGCAGCAGCAGCAGCGCTGCCATCGGCTTCGCGATGAGACACAAACTGGGGAAAAGCCTAAAAAGTTTAAATCAAACCGAGTAAAACATTTTTTAAGGGGAGGTTCTACTGAAAATATTGCATTTTTCAAATTGAGACCCAGTGTAAAAATTTGTTGCAGATGTATATTAATACATAGTTAATGGTCAAACATAAAATTTAGAGCCCAATACCTCCCTCCAAATCCAGTCGAAGAGGTTTTTTCAGCCTATTGTAGCAATATCTTAAAAAATTCTCCTACGCAAAGCATTTCAACGTAAACTGATGTTCTGGACATTTTTCACTTCTTTGGCTCATATGCAATAAAGCGTGGCATCACCAAGACATGGGACCCAACAAATTTATTTTGTCGTTGCTTTTCAGAAAAAAAGTCACTAAAATATCAGAAATTTTAACATTTTCTTGAAATTTTATTGACATGCTGTCTTAAAAACACAGCTTATGGTTTTGTAATGGTCCCAGTATCTTACTAATGCCACGGTTTATCAATTATGAACCAAAGAAGTGAAAAATGCCCAGAACATCAGTTTACGTTGAAATACTTTGCGTAGGAGAATTTTTCAAGTTACGACTGGAAATAGCAGAAAATTCCTCTTCGACTGGGTTGGGGGCTAGGTATTGCTCTCCAAACTTCAAATTTAACTATTTACTATGAAATACTTAAAATTTACAATGAATATTGATAATGGGACTCAATTTGAAGAAAGTAAGATTTTCAGTAGAACCTCCCCTTAAATTCTTTTGACTGAACCTCAGCGAAGAACTTATAGGACACTCTCTTACAAGATGATATGGACCACATCGATTTGACGTGACTACAGTCAAGTCCCCTGGCCCACGCAGCGTCATGCTTGTAACGTCTATTTTTAAACTTCGTTCTGAATCTAAGCCTAGTCCGGCCTTCTGGCGAGTGAGTTAGAATTAATCCCCTCTAATGCGCTGGTCGCGCTCCCAAGATAGATGAAACAAACACGGTGCGTGTCTGGGACCGTCCGGGGTTGCGAGTATGCACCGAGGTGTGCACCACCGTAATCTTGCATGTTTAGTGTAATTGCATCTCGACTGGAAAAGCCTGGCACAGCCTGGCAAAGCGTGGGACTGGTGAGTGTGTGTGTGCGTGTGTGTGTGTGTGTGTACTTGTGTGAAAGGTCAAACCAAATGAAATTAAACTAGGTGCACTTTTTTCAGAAATACTGTATCCTTGTCGTCGCTGCCGACACCTCTCGCGGGATCTCTCGCACGTCTGTGCGAATGTCTCTCGGACGCGC